AAAAGATAGATGGAAGAGAAGAAAACGTTGATGGAAAATGTCAGCGAGCGAAGATGAGCGAAAGAAAATTTTTTTCTCTTTTTTTATATTTATTTAGTTATGATTATGATTAATGAGAAAGGTTAGAACAAGGAAAAAAGTGAAAGATGTGATTCTTTTTTCTTTTTTCTTTAAATATTTACTCAATCCTAATTGATAAAGGTCAAAGTCATCTTTCTTAACGCGAAACGATCCTTTTTAGGTGTGTTAAGATGCATTCTTTTCAGCAAAGCTTTTATCACTAAATATAATCACAGAATTCTTCGTAATATCATATTTATTTGGATATATATATAGAATTTTTATTCGGCTTATAATTACAATATTTTTGGGACGAAAAATGTACATCATTCGAATATTCCTCTCAAATAATATACCCAGTTAATGTGAGAAAATTCCGGGTCAGTGCAGTACACTATTAATTTTCCAGTAACAGGATACTTTTCTTCCTGAAATTTTTCTTCTTTGTATTGCTCGGTCTCCTTAATATTCACATTAACAACGATACTCTGAAAAATCATATATACGTATATATATATTATATCCCAGATAGGAAATCGAATTGAAACATTTCAATTCGTTAATTTTTAGATAAAAAGAATCCGAGTCGATTTCAAAATTACCTGTTTTGAATTCAAAGTGATCGATGACGTGCTCACCGTGAAACTATCAGGCTCGTCGACGATAAAATTGAAGGTCATTACTTTTCTGAAGACATTTTTGAAAGAAATACTAGCAAAAGAGGTTTGAGTGATTATGTAAGGACCCATTGGCTTTGGCAGGGAGCACGAACCGATCAACGGAAATCTGAAGTTAAATAGGGAAATAGGATTAATTTTTCAAAATTCCAATTTGATTTTTGATTTAATCGATATCCTCGAATCGTTTCTCTTCTCGCTCCTCGGAATAAGTTTGACGAGTAAATTACACCTTCTTACATGAATTCTCCAGCGGTGATCGAGGATGCTGTCAACGTGGCGGACACATTTTCAACGTCGTACGGTTCGAAAATTACCTTGAGCATATACACGTCTTCTACGTTAACCTCGACAATTTCTGGACACGTGAAACAATTGTTATCCACCTAAAAAAAAAGTAAAAGGAAACAACGAGACTTACATTCGATATCTAAAAATTATTTCAAAAATTATATTCGTAATTGATGATATCTCGCGTACTTGTATTACAAATTGGGCAAACTCTTTGGTTAAATTTTTCAGAATGAGCGTAAACTCGGTAATATTTCCCAAATAAGCGTTAACACGTGTGACGTTCTCCGGAGGCGCTGAAATACCTTTCAATTGCAATTCGTATGGGAACAGGCCCATATAAGTGGAATTGATATTCAAAATGACAGACTCGTCGCAAGGCAGCAGAGGATTAAAATAAACAGAAATATAGTCCTAGAAATTTAATATAAGTTTTCATTAATATAGTTTGAAGGGAAACGAGATAACGATTACTTACGTACGATTGTGGCGGCATTAATCTTGGTACTTTGACGATAACAAATGGATTGAAACAATGTGAATTAAGTCTAATTACATAATTCAAAGGATTTTCGAATTTCAAGGGGTAACAAATCTCGGATCGAACCGTTGTTGTCAATTTAATCGATTCCATCACTTCCGGTTCGGTTACCTCGTACTCTATCTCGTAGAATTGATATTCTTGTTCCTCGTTGGTAAACGTTATCTGTATATCAAAAAATTTTAACAAAAAAAAAAAAAATCTCGTCGAAATATAAAATTTAAGATTATTAAAGATTAAAACCTTAAAATGAAAATTCCACTTCTCGTAGCAATAAAATACAGCGTGATAATCTCGTTGACCGTTCGCTGGAACGTCGAATTTCTCGTTTCCTACGAAACTATATATAGGAACCTGTCCATGGAAAAAAGAAAGAATATAT